GGTGCGATTATGCGTTTTTGCACTTCTCGTGCCGTAGCAAGATCGCAAGGAATCACTGTAGCTAAATCTGTGACATATCGGACCTCGAAGTTCGGGAATTTAATTGTGCAACTGTGTGGTATGTCAGTTGTAGAAGTCGGCTTCAGTAACCGGCAAATGGAAAGGTGCTGGTCCGCAAAAAAGGTTACACCAGAAGAATTAAATCTGAAATCTTTTAGTCGCACATAAGTAGGGAACATTCCCTTAAAATTAAAGCCTTCAGCTTGTCTCCTTCCCGGATTGGCAGTTTTCCCACCAAAATTTTCACGTGTACATACGTGATTACCGGACAGTTTTAAGGAGCTAAATTTAAAATCTTTTGATCATACATGAGTAGGGAATATTATCCTAAAGTTTCAGCCTTCTAGCTTTATTCGTCCCCGAGTTAGTGATTTTTGCGCCAAAATTTCCATGTGCCTGTACGTGGGCTCCGGGCGCTTCTAAACACCTGATTTTGCTCGTACATGAGTGGGGAACGCTCCCTTAAAGTCTCAGCTTTCTAGTTCCTCCTGCTCACGGATTAGTAATTTCCGCGCCAAAATTTCCACGTACTCGTATGTGGGCCCCGGACGCTTCTAAACACCTGATTTTGCTCGTACATGAGTGGGGAACGTTCTCTTAAATTTTCAGCTTTCTAGTTCCTCCCGCTCACGGATTAGTAATTTTCGCGCCAAAATTTCAACGTACTCGTACGTGGGCCCCGGGCGCCTCTAAATACTTGATTTTGCTCGTACATGAGTGGGGAACATTCCCTTGAAGTTTCAGCCTTCCAGCTCTTCCCGTCCCCGGGTTAGTAATTTTCGCGCTAAAATTTCCACGCGCACGTATGTGGGCCACGAGTGCTCCTAAACAACTGATTTTACTCGTACATGAGTAGGGAAGATTCCCCCAAGGTTTCAGCTTTCCAGCTTTTCCTTTTCCCGGGTTAATGATTCCCGCGCCAAAATTTCTGTGTGCCCGCACGTGGGTCCAGGGCGCATCTGAACACCTGATTTTGGTCGCACATGTGTAGGAAACATTACCCTAAAGTTCCAGCTTTCTAGCTTTTCGTGTCCGCAAGTTAGCTATTTTCGCGCCAAGAATCTTCACGTGCCCGTACGTGAGCCCCGGGCTGTCCTAAAGGGCTGAGTTTTAAAACTTTTGGCCACACATGAGTAGGGAACATTCCCCCAAAGTTTCAACTTTCTAGCTTTTCTCATTTCCGAGTTATGAATTTTCCCGCCATATTTTCACGTGCCCGTACATAAGCCCCGGGCAGTCCTGGTCAGCTCAATTTGAAATCTTTCTGTCACGCACAGGTAGGGGACATTCGCCCAATGTTTCAGCTTTCTAGCTTTTCTCTTTCCCGAGTAATCAATTTTCGCGCCAAAACTTCCACGTGCTCGTACGCGGGGCCTAGACGTGCGTGAGAGTTGATACTGCGGTCCTGGGGTGGCACTTGGCTGGGGAACACACTGTTTCAGCCTCAAAGCTTGCGTGGTTGGCGAGTTGAAACACCCGGACAGACGAACACACACACACACGCACACGCGCGCACACACACACGCACACACAACGCACACACACACGCACACACACACACGCACACACGCACACACACACACGCACACACACACATTGACAGGGTCGTTCCAATATGCGTTTTTTGCTGCCTGTTGCAGCGCTCTAGCGCTGCACGGTAAAAACGCATAAAAAACTGTTCTCAAAGGCCGAAGGGAGGAGGCATCCTGCTGGTGGAAAAACTAGTTGCCGCCACTGACTGACTTCAAGAAAGCGACCTCCAACTCCTGTTTCTTCAAAAAGCGACCTTAGCTCTCCGAACTTTTCACCTTTTACAGCACATTTTTATGTGCCTTCCAGTCAGACGGAGATTATGCAGCAGATGAAAGATGTGGAGCAGAAATTTCTACCCGAAACTTGGCTTCCCTAATGAAATACTTTAATTACTCGCCTTGAAGTGCCATGGATTTCGCCAGTCCTGGAGTTTTTTTTTGGCTGCCACACTATTTCTAGCTCTTTAATACACCGCACACTACTGTCCAAACGACGGATATTCTTGAACTTAGTTACAACCCTGCGCCGCAGCAACCGCGAAGCTCGCGCGCGCGTAACTACTTATCAAGCTTACGCATGATAAAACAGGCTCGGTGACTTATCAAGCAAAACAGGCTCGGTGGTGTGCGCCGATGATACGGCCCAGACAGCGTGCGAATTTACAGCGTACTGTTTGAGAGACAGGTCCCCTGAAATCATGCCCTAGAGGAATTTGCAGCATGGTGAATATTGCTGCAAGATGCTAACAGACGAGACGGAACCAAAGTACAAATAAGCAGTTGAAGAAATACTAGGATACCCACCAATCCATATGGCTGAATCGACCGGGTCAGCTGGGAGACCAAGCGATGCCCAACTTATATCGCTGATATGTTCCGGATCCATAATATCGAAAACATCATTGTAATCGAAATATCCCCAACACTGCGTGCTATCCACCAAATTGTTGTCCACAAGAAGTTTCTCTTCACCAGCAAACCATTTGAAAAACTGCTCCAGACTGGAGATGTATGCCATTTTTGACTGATTTTCGAATAAAATCTGCATCAGTATTAAGGCCTACT